CAAGGATTCTAGTTGAGAGCTCATACCTGCAAGAAACACGCGACGATCTCAGCTGGAGGGACGCAAGCGATGGATCACTCAGGGAAGCGGTATCCACGACACTTACATTTCTACAAACACATTTTTACGTGATTAAGAAAGTATATTATAATACAACAGTGACTTCACTAAGGAAGTCCAGGGGCAGGGAGAAAGCACCCTAGATCAGCTACCGGAGGATTCATTGGATTCGTCAAATTTCGTAGGGCAGCACTCACGCTAGTAATAAAGGTAACGCGCAGTTATTGCTGTCTCTGCCATATTGAAATTCAGAGGCTGTCTGCATGGTACCTGCTGCTTTGTTCTGTGTTATTTTCATAGACTGATATTCCCATTGCACTCGGAATGGTAGTTTCATGGTTATAAATCGTTAAAAAGCGCAACTCTTTCTGGTTTACCCCATCTCTTGAAAGATTTTCCTGACAACTCCAGTAGGGTGAAGGCAGAAATTATGATTACACAATTGTTATTGCATCTGGCAAAATGCATGTTGCACAAATTATATGTATATGGTGGCAATTACTGATGGTATCTACATGAATGCAATGAGGAATTTTCCATATCCCTGTGCGCTGAATGGAGGAGTGTGAGATCAGGCAACGTTGTTAGCCATCTGGTGATTCTTCTACTAAAAAGCAATTTCCGAGCAAAAATTAAATCCTGGCAGATGTTTTGTATGATAGCGGGCAGTTGTAATTGTGACATGCCTGTGACCAGCGATACTACGCTCTGTACAAAACCATAACAAAGAATACCGCATGCAACACACTCACTACAACGCACACATGAATGCCACACAAGCGCACACATGCCGTACGCCCCCCCCCCCACACACACACACAAACACACCTTAACCCTCACAGACACGCAGCACAAACAAATGCACATACACACGCCATCCCCCCCACACCAAATGCACGCACATGCACACCAGCCCCACACACACAACCACACACACACCACTGACACACAACACACAACACCACAAACAACACACCACACTCCACCCGCATGTAAGCAAAGACATGCACACACCTCTTAACTACAGCGAGTGCACCCAGGAAGAGTGCATAAAAACGAACCAACCCCTGGGACAAACACTATAGACTGCAGGAACACAAAGAAACCCACAAGTACTAAACGTATACAACGAGAACCCCGAACAAGACCACAGGGGGACGACCGAAAAGAACCCCAACCAACACAACAAGTAACCCTAAAAAAACCTAATCCGTACACACAGAACCACCCAACCTCCACCACGAAAAACAGACCAAAAGAACCAACCCCTAGGAACTAGACAAAAAAGACACAACAGACACACCACCCCAACCTACGAACACACTACAAATAAAATACAAAAAAACCAAACCAATTAAATCAACCACCAACACAAAACACTACAAAAAACAAACTCTCCGCCAGCGAGCTATCCTCGTAGCAGCCGCTCGTTGCTGGCGTGCTCGCTACAGTGTACACGCTCGCTGGATGAGCTGGCGGCTCGCAGGACTGCGCTAGATATCCGATCGCGCAGAAACCAATCATTGCTAACTTGCGCCACGAACGCACCGAGACCGATCATCACTAACCTCCCTCCACTCATGGGCGGAGGTAACATACACACCTTCCATTGCAGCTTCGTTGCTACGATTGCCACGGGCAGGGCAGCGGCTGTCTATGTACAAGAGTTCCTGGCAGGCTGCTTCTACCTGGAGAAATAGCCGACTAGATGGGCGCCATGCTTGTCCACCTCACAGAGAATGTGAAGAGACGGTTCGACGTCAAGTAGAGGGTCTTGTGATCAAGGAAGAGTTTCGCCAGCAGGGCACTGGTTCTGGCAGTAGATCTGGCAAAACGAGAATCAGCGTTAGTGTTTCGCTCAGCGGTCAGCACTGATGTGGACAGATCGGTTATACACCTGAGGTACAACATTTTACCAGAAATTTTCTTTAGGACTTTTCTGACTTATCAGAAGCTCAGATGGTCCACTTTCCACTTGCATTTAACGCCAAATGCAACCTTTTGTACATTGCTTCGTCGCATCAACTATTAGCCAAACAAACTTCCCAAGCAAGTTTTATTACCTCTCAACAATAAACATGACTATTTTCAACATGTTAACTTGTTAATTGTCACTGGTGAAATGTCGAGACAATAGACACGTGCCAAATTCTAGCACAATTCATGACAAAACATAATATAACAGCGCTATTTGGCAAGACATTTTTCGGACACACATCCCATTTTCCACACCTGGAAAATTCGTATTAAATACTAGGACCATTCGGGTTTTCCAGACTTGTATGAAACCCCGTACTGTACTGGGACAGTCTGGTCGCACGGCTAAAGATGTGACATCATAGACTAGCCACGTTGACATACATAAATGTATTGAGGAAGTATGGACGCGAGTAAATAAGAACTTTTCGTGAGACACTTCTCTTACCTTGTGGTCCTTGCGCCAACTTCATATACAGATATCGTAGCTTTCGCGTATATCTCTTGCCCAGGCGCTGTCTCCAGGTACACTCTCCCTAGAGCAATAGTCAAGCAAGGCTTTATAAACTTAATATTTCCACTTACATCTTTATTTAAAAAAAATTCTCTTAGCGAAGTAAAAGAGATAGAGAGAGTGAGAGAGAGAGCGAAGAGGGAGCGAGCGAAATTGAGAGAGAGAGAGAGAGAGAGAGAGAGAGAGAGGGAGAGAGCAAAGAGGGAGCGAGCGAAAATTGAGAGAGAGAGAGAGAGAAGGACAGCAAGAGAGAGAGAGAGAGAGAGAGAGAGAGAGAGAGAGAGAGAGAGAGTGTGAGACAGAGAGAGAACAGACAGACAAAGCATCGACAGGGAAGAAGAAATGAACCGCACGAGAGCTAGCGGCAATACTACGGCGATCTTCACCTGGTGGTATCTGTAGGTCTTCTCGAGACGCATGTACTTGAGGCAGTACTCGCAGATCCACAGCTTCGCCTGCTTGCCGTACTCCTCCGGATACGGCGAGAAGTACACGTATCGATCTCGTACTTGCCGATCTGGATCTTGTCAATGTATTCACCTTTGTGATCTGCAACACGTGCATTCAGCGAGAATCAAAATTAAGAAAATTCGAAGGACCGCTAGCTTTTCCACAGAAAGAGTGATGGCCACGGGATGTGTCGTCGCAACGCATTCAGGAAGAATCAAAAATTAAGAATACCGTAGCTTTCCAAACGGAAAAGTGATGGCCAAATCTACTCTTCTAAAAAAGGTTTTTAAGGGTTTTACGAGTAAAATTATTAGCCTGGCGCATAGCATCTATTTATACTTTCAGTTTTTAGAGAGTGATACAGAGATTGAGTTAGACAGAAAGAGCAAGATAGGGAGAGGTGAAATATGCAGCTAGAGAGAAAGAGAGAATGAGCACAAGTGTGAGAACGATGCGGAGAGAGCACGAGCAAGAGAGAGAAAAAGAGAGAGAGATCGAATGAGAGGGAGAGCGAGAGAGAAAAAAAGAAAGATAGAAAGAGTGAGAGAGAGAGAGAGAGTGGGAGTGGGAATGAGAGAGAAAGAGAGATAGATAGAGAGATAGAGAGAGAGATTGAGAATGAGAGAGAGAGAGAGAGAGAGAGAGAGAGAGCAAGAGAGAGAAAGAAAAAGAGAGACAGAGAGATCAAGTGAGAGTGGGAGTGAGAATGAAAGACAGAGAGAGAGAGAGAGAGAGAGAGAGAGAGAGAGAGAAGAGAGAGAGAGAGAGGAACGAGAGAGAGAGAGAGAGAAAGAGAGAGAGAGAGAGAGAGAAGAGAGACAGACAGAGAAAGCCAGACAGAAAGATGAGTAGTCAGCGGGGTCACACGCACGGCCTCGTGTTCCTTCTCGAGCGCGGCCGTCGTCGGGTCCATCTCGGCGTACGTCTTCTGCACATGGTTGATCTCGTCGTGGATGCGCTTCTGGTTGCGCGTGATCTTGCGTTCCGGCTCGTCGAGCGACTGATGCGGAGGCTTCAGCGCGACGCTCTGCTTCTCGTGGTCGCCCCCAAGCAGCAGCGAGACGCTCACACGCTCGCGCGTCACCCACTCGTCCAGCCGACGGTTGACTGAGGACGGGAAGCGATGTGAGAATTCAACGTGGGGCCTGACATGGCGCTACTAAGGGGTAGGGGTGGGGTGGCTTCTTTGAGAGGCACACACAAATTTATGAAGTCTTGGATGTGTTCGGATGTAGAGGGAAAAATATGTTTAGTATGGAAGGCTGCCTGACATGGTGCTACCAGTGTTCTCATTAGGAACTGGCCACCGGCCGAATTGACCGTCTACTCTGCTGTTTCGGCCGGTTACAATTGGCTCAAGTATGATATTTAGAAAATAAAAAATAAATTTTTTTAAATTTGCATTTGGTTTGCTCTAATTATTCTCCAAAGTGAAAGTGTTTTATGAGCTACTACTAATAAATCAGTTGAGTATACTTGTATGCATGTTATGTGCATGAGAAGCATTGTTTTGTTTTTAAGTAACGCTATTTACGTACTTGTCTAACTCTTATAATTACTAAATCGTCATAATTTGGGAAAACTTTTGGTGAACTCGAATGTACCAAGAGAAACCAAATTTGAAAAAAGGACCATACTGTAATCCAAATGTGTCTGTTTACTGCAGCTCAGAATACACCAGATTGCATCTAGGTTTGAAAAAAAAAATTGAGGGGGACCCCCCCCCTCGCACACCGCCACGGCCTCTTGCAAAAGCATTTGGGTCTGTTACTATAAAAGATAATGAAAACCCTGTGCTACTAAAGGAAGGGGAGGCTTCTTTGAAAGGCACGCGCAAATGAAATTTTGGATGTGTTAAGATGTAGAGGAAAAAGTACGTTTTGTTATTGAAGGGTACTTTGCACAAGGTTTTTTTAGAGGCGAGTCAGGACAATCATACTAGGCATCTTAAACCAACAGCTCAAGCACAGGCTTTATGTAGATAGGGTTCGTAACCTAAGGCAAAATGTTTTTTTCCAGTTTTCCAGGAATTCCCAGGATTTTAAAAGATCATTTTCCATGACTGGGAGATTTTAGCCGAATACAATCTTTGTACCTTAATATATATCGTTTAATCAACAATTAGTCAACAGAGTCTTGCAATAATTAAGTTTATTATCTGCCAGACAAGATAGACACGGGCTCAATTTCAATGACTTTCTATAAGCAAACACAATAATAGGACTCCTATTTTTCAAGACTTCCTAGAATCATAGCCTAGTTTCCAGGACATCCTATACCTAACAAATGACCATTTTAAAATTCCAAAACTTTACCAAGTTTTCCAGGTCCCATACCAACCCTGCTAGACTAGGGTGAAGGACACGCAAACCAGACCGTTAACATTCATCACTCACATCCTTCGTAATGTACGTAATAGTCGTAGTTGGGTTCTCCATGGCTCGTCTCTGTGCGGCGCGTGTGAATCACCTCCGCAGGATCTGCAAAATTTATGCAGTCATCACTCATTAGTGCAGGACTGCATGCAGTCACATATAGATGAAGTGCAAATTTTTTTTTTTTTTATCACGACGGAACTTTTTAGATATTCTCTGAAAAACTATCCCGCAAACAATTTGGGACTATTTTTCTCACAGCACGGTAGGATATGTGCATTGTACAATATAAATTAAATGCCTCATAGGGTAAACTGCCTAAGTTAAATTGGGATTTCTTTTCATAACTTCTAGGGACTCACAGCTCTTGCCAGAGGCACATTATACGATCATTAGGTATGACACGAGATGCTCGGAAACAGGGAGCAGGATGCGTCGAAATGACCGATCGATGAAAAATTCAATTATTCTAATGCGTTGTAATGACAGAGAAATATCCATTTATACATCGGCTACATGTACATGACATGTACTTAAATACAATAACAGCCTGTGTGCAAAATGGGTGAACGTACGTGAAACATCTACTGACTGTTGCTACTTACTGTGACATATCCATGAAACCACTAAATTGGTAAAATGTTCTGAGAAATTACGAGGTTACCATGGCAAATGTTGTCGATAGGACCGTTTTCATTTACTTTCAATGCAAGAGTTTAATAGGGACTTTCAGTTTCAATATATGACCGTTCCTCTAACCACAAGATAACCCTGTAATCAGGAACACACACACACACACACTCATACATACACACATTTGACAATTAACAGTAATCCATAAAGCCAGGGGGCCATTGTCAGAAACATCGTAAAGTTAATGCTAATGTTAATGCTAAGATAACACTTACGACTAATGTTAATGTTACGAGAGGAGCGTTGACAGAAACACATCACAGCTATTAGAAAACTTACGATAACAGGAACTTCATCACAAGGCTGCTGATTGGATGATAATCGATCACAAAAATCAAATTCATACCCATTTATTGCATATCACAGTAATTACCTCCGCCAAGGAGTTGGCAGGAGGTTATGTTTTATGCATATTATGCAGGAGTAAGATAATATAGAGGGAGTATGATCTGTCCTAAAAACATGTGAAAATTCAACATTTGCTTGCTAATTTTACGGATTGATATATTACACGTGCAACTCGATAAAAATTACATCTAAATGAGCGTTGGACATCCGTCTCTAACTAAAACTTTACTTTGTTTAAATACTCTTGCCTTTAGGAGATATAGCTTTGAACGACACTTGGTTCTAGTTGTTTTAACTAAGCTGCGGCTCAGATTGCCCAACAATCACCGACGTGGCTAGCTGTGAGGAATGGTCTTGTCTGTTGAGCAAGAATGCACACCTGTTGGCGGCAGAGTAATAAAGTAATATATGAATTATATATATAAGATAATTGTTATATGTTGTGCATAATATATTAGTGTGTTATTCGTGTGTATAATATATATAGTACGTGTATATATTATTATATAGGAATATATAGTGTGTATGATATAATATAGAATATAATATGAAGTTCTATCATTATCTTACTCTGCCGCAACCAGGTTGGATTTGTCACAGACCAGCATTCCTCACAGCTAGCAATGTTCGGTGTTAGTTGGGCAATCCTGAGCCAGCTTAGTTAAACAACTTATGAACCATGTGTGAACGTTAGAGTACTATCTCACGTAAAGGCAGAGAGGTATTGTAAACAAAGTAAAGTTTTAGTGTAGAAGCGGATGTCAACGCTTTCTTTAGATGTAATTTTTATCGAAGTTGCACGTAATATATATCGGTAAAATTAGGGCAAAAGCAAATGTTGAATCTTCACATGTTTTGGACAGTCATACTTCCTCTATTATTAGCTTAGGCTGTTGCTCCTGATACCCGTACCGTCGCCCGATTTTTTTTCTTAAGTCACGGTAGTTGATGCGCCAGCGCATCTATCGGGAATAATAACTCCGTTGCTTTTGTACGATATTATATATACAATTTCTTACGATATATACGATAACCCTTAACGCCTTAACGCCTACCGCTACCCTAACACCTAACCTTAACCTAACCGTAACCCTACACTGCTATTAAATTATATAAATTTAATTTTTAATTGTTGTAAAAATTAATTGTTGTTATTAAAATGTTGTAAATAAATATGTAAATATTTGCGTTAATTGGAAAAAAATGTTAACAGTAAAGATAGAAAATACAGAAAACGGAAATAATTAGAAAACAGGATCGTTCGATCCCGCGGACTATTCATACTTGGCGCAAGCGCTCTAACCGTTTGCGCTGCTGCCACTATAGAAATTAAAATTTGTGGATGTGCTATGTATATCGCGAGAAAACAAGCTCAACCAATCAGGCGTCAGTACGCGTCAGTACCTTGTGACTTTAAGAAAAAATAATGCGCGACGGTACCGTTGCAGTTGACACTTCCATTATCTTACTCTGATATTCATGATGGCTAACCACATGTAAATAATACTTGATGAAAAAACGCAGCGGTCATGAATTTATTCTGCCACAACAAGACAAATTCTCACACTGTAGGCCTAACACGAGACGCGAGAGTCGTGGCAAGTGGCAGTCATTTAAAAGAAACAGAGACAAATGCCATACGACATTGTAATGTTTTGTTTTGTTTTATGATCGGTAGATAATTAATGTTCTTTGACGTGTTTTTAAAGAAAAACACACAGATTTTATCATTTTTAATAATATATATCACTATATTGTAATTCATAGTGTAATGTGTTATTTTCATCTTAATATTATTATTAAACTTAGTTACGAGAGGGTTTGCCGCTTGGCTTTCGTAATGACAATGTTATGTTTAACACAGTGGCTGGAGTACGGTAGCCGCTCGGTCGTTTCAAGCCCTTTTTGCGTTAGGGTTAGGGTTAGGATTAGGATTAGGGTTAGGGTTAGGGTTATGGTTAGGTTTACGGGTTAGGCGTTAGGTTCTAGCTCATCTAAACTCTCAAATCGTGAATTTATTTCCCAAGGCGTTATTTCGCATCTAGCGCCACCGCCGCCATCTTTTGTTCGTTAAGTATGAAACGAATGACTCCCGTACCCGTAGCCTCGAGACATTAAGTACGGCTACCGTCCGTAGCGCTGCTATTGTCTAAGAGGCTAAGTAAGAGGATATTTTCGAGGATATTTCGTTCTCGTAACATTACCGGTACGATGTTTCTGTCAACGGTTTACGAGTGGAAGTTAATGTTAAGACTAATGTTAAGACTAATTTTGTTTCTGACAACGGGCCCCAGGATTCCCATTAAACGTGTCAGAACTACTGAACTATGAATCATGATGAATGACGACGGGAATACCCTACCGCCCTACGTACGCCATGTGGTGTCGGGTCGCCTGACCATGTACCTTCCGCCAATTTCTAGAGGCAATTCGTGGCTTCGCACACCATCACCCTTTTCCATGCCATCGAGGTCACCATAAGAGCCAATCATTGTGTTTTGGTGGTTCCTGTGTATTTCTGCAAACGTATTTTCCGTCAAAATTTCTCGATATGTGTCTCTATCGCCTGACATATTTACTGACGAAAAAACGTAAACAGTGAACTGTGATTGGTCGAAAATATTACGCTGCAAGGCGTTTATTTTTTCATGTTGTTGGTTGATTAATTTTTGTTTTTCAAGTTAAAGCACGCAGTTTCTAAAATTAAAATATGTTAAATATTTATTTTGATCAGTTTTTACATAACGAGCTTCGTCGAAGCAGAAGATTTGTATTTTATCACGAACTGGAAAGCAGCGCCATTATTAATTTGTGGTAGAATACAGAAGCTCAAGATAGCGGATTAATACAAAACTGACGCATGGTTTACTAACAAATAATTGATTATTATGCTTTAAGCATAAAATGGAAAGTACTAGTACTTCAAATATTGTTCTTCTACAATAAATTAATGTAAAGTAAACACAATAATAGGTTGAATTGAAATCATTCCTTCAAAACTTGAGTCTATTTCCTACACGGAAGCAGCAATCCGCATGAGAAAAAAGGCTGTGTCGCCTCGCCTCTGCGCTTTTCGTCCATTGTGAGATTCTGTAACATTTTCATTGTCATGGATAGTCCGGCGAAGATGATGGCTCATGGCCAAGGTGAAATGATGATGCAGTCACCGCCACAGCCAAACGCCGCTGAAAGTTTAGTTAACGTGCTTCAAACAGAAATTGAGAAGCTGGACAAGTCTTTTAAGAATGCACACCGGCTTCTTACAGAGGGTAAGTTTAAATTTGCACGTTTCACCACTTCAGTAGGTAGGGGCCTAGTTGGCACACTACGGCACTTGGAGCGTTTCAATAAAATATCATGCTAATTAAATACGAAATCTATTTACTACCAAAGTCTTAATGTTTCTATACTCTCTTTCACCTATTATTACCGACAATTTCCTGCAAATGCCGTCCAAATGCTCATCTGCAACAATTTGAACAAACGCTGGCTGCCGCCATGGCTGCCGCAGCACGCTGACACATAAATATATCAGAGTGGCTATATGCCCGGCAGCCGGCATATATCTGCCAGCTGCCGGGCACGGTCTTCGATTTCCTAAATGCCCGGCAGTTTTTAATTTTCAGCGTTATCTCAAGTAAACAAGGGTAAGGGTTAGGGTTAGGAACTGCCGGGCATTTAGGATATCGAAGACCGTGCCCGGCTGCCGGGCATATATATAGGTGCGGGCGGAGCTACGTCACAGATCAGTAGTCACGTGACCACCAGCAGAACGTCGGTGAAAATAACACGGTCGCGTCACTGGCGCCCATAGGATTACTGCATAACGATACGAATTATCTGTTACTTGGTTTGGATGTTTAAATAAGTTTTTTTCATGAAATTTCTTCTAATATGCCTTACGAGTATATAGATAGCCTTTCTGTAGCCATAATTATGACATTATGTAAGATACATATGCACTGCAAATATAAAATATTTTAAGCTATTCTTATTTGTTTGCTTTGCATTAGTTGAATAAAATTACCCCAAGTCTTGTGAAACAAAAACAAAGTCCAAGATTACACATGCGCACGCACACACACGCACACACAGTGACACACTCACACGCACACGCACTCGCACACACAGTGACACATGCACACGCACATTCACGCACACGCACATGCACTCACATGCACACGTACACACAGTGACACACTCACACGCACACGCACACGCACTCACACACACAGTGACACACTCACACGCACACGCACACGCACTCACACACACAGTGACACACTCACACGCACACGCACACACAAGGACACACAAACACGCATGCGCACGCACGCACGCACGCACTCGCACTGACACACTCGGACGCACACGCACTCACACGCACACGTACACACAGTGACACACTCACACGCACACGCACACACAGTGACACACTCACGCGCACTCGCACACACAGTGACACACGCACACGCACACGCACACACAGTGACACACTCACACGCACATTCACGCACACGCACACGCACTCACATGCACACGTACACACAGTGACACACTCACATGCACATGCACACGCACACGCACTCGCACACACAGTGACACACTCACACGCACACACAAAGACACAAACACATGCGCACACGCACGCTCGCACACGCACTGACACACTCGGACGCACACGCACTCGCACACGTACACACGCAGTCAGCCACGTATGACTTATCACGCCTCTCTGAACTCTTATGTCATTTTGGCATCTCAAAAAAAAAAATTTTCTTATTTGTGCACTATATATGATTGTGACAACCTACTACTACACAAGTTTTCGGCATATATACAAGGAAATTAATATGCTTTAGGTTTGCAAATGGGGTATTGCGTGTGTAAGCTCACGGAGACCGGCTGATGTTTTCACCGGCACAGCGGGTTGCTAGGTTAAGAAAGTCCCGGATGTGCAAAGTTCCCGGCTGTCTGCCCGCACCTATAGCCACAGCGTTTATTGAAACGCTCCAAGTGCAGTGCGCCGCCTATAGCCTATTAGACTGGTAGTGGTACTCGCTCCCACCTCTCGGCTTAGATTCCCAATGCGCATAGCGTTCGGCTAACTTCGACTCCAAGATCGAATGTATAATTGGATGCCTGGTGTCAGTTAGCCGAATGCTATGCGCATTGGGAATCTGTACGTCACAGGTCAACAGAAATGGTGCTCGAAGTATCGCCGCTCGTCACTTCGAATTTTCGTAACAGGTTATATTAGTTTAATACAGAGTATTGTGATACATAGTAAGTTCCAGGATAGCAGAGAAAGGTTCATGTTAAAATTAAACCCAGTTTGGAAGTTCTAGTCTCTGAAAACGCACCAGCAAACCGCCCTGAGTGATTCACTCAGGGGTTCCTCCAAAGAAAAGAATAGGCTCGCGTTCTAACCCTATCCTGTGTTTGGGTTACATTATTGTATCTAATAGCCTAGATGTACTTGCAGCCATTTACATAAACTGCGCAACGGGAGCGAACACGAGAATTTTTTCAGGCTTCGTTTGATTTCGCGTGACACGGCTCGGTTACAAACACAGACAATATGTTTTTATAACAGGTGAACACTGTTCTTCAAATAGAAACAAAGATGGAGTAGAATGGTTGAATATTTGTGTTGTATTCGTGTGAAATCAAGCGAGCGTCGAGCGAATTTTGGCAGCACGCTTTCCTACCTGCTATATATTTATGTGTCAGTGTGCAGCGGCAGCCATGGCGGCAGCCAGCGTTTGTTCAAATTGTTGCAGATGAACATTTGATTTGGACGGCATTTGCAGGAAATTGTTGGCAATCATAGGTGAAAGAGAGTATAGAAACATTAAGACTTTGGTAGTAAATAGATTTCGTATTTATTTAGCATTATATTTTATTGAACAGGCCGCATATTTCCTGCAAATTCTGTCCAAATGCTCATCTGCAACAATTTGAACAAACGCTGGCTGCCGCCATGGCTGCCGCAGCACACTGACACATAAATATATCAGAGTGGCTATATATGCCCGGCAGCCGGCATATATTTGACGGCTGCAGGGCACGGTCTTCGATTTCTTAAATGCCCGGCAGTTTTTAATTTTCAGCGTCGTTAGGAAATCGAAGACCGTACCCGGCTGCCGGGCATATATATAGCAACAGCGTTTATTGAAACGCTCCAAGTGCCTGTGCTTCTGTACTACTACTAGAACTTAGAAGCACAGGCACTTGGAGCGTTTCAATAAAATATAATGCTAAATAAATACGAAATCTATTTACTACCAAAGTCTTAATGTTTCTCTATTTCACCTATTATTGCCGACAATTTCCTGTAAATGCCGTCCAAATGCTCATCTGCAACACACGCTGGCTGCCGCACGCTAGCTGCTGCACACTGACACATAAATATATAGTTTAAATATAATATAGTTTACATAAATAAATATATTTTCATTTTTATTTTATATTTTTGTGTCAGTGTGCAGATCCAGCGTGTGTTGCAGATGAGCATTTTGACGGCATTTACAGTAAAATTGTCGGCAATAATAGGTGAAAGAGAGTAGAGAAACATTAAGACTTTGGTAGTAAATAGATTTCGTATTTATTTAGCATTCTATGTTTGCGCACACAAGTATATTATCAAGAGCTAATAATACCTATGGTACCTATTATAATCAGATAATCCTGGTAACTAACAATACAGTGTGTATTGTTGAACAGTGAACACCTTCTAACAATACACTG